CAACTTTTATTTTCATGAATTGTTGAGAGCAAGTCCTAAGAGTTATTATTACAACTTATGAGTTACTGGGAACAACCCACTCCTAAGTCTTCTGGAACTATGTGCTAAGTTTCACATTTCATCTCCTCACTGGTTACTTCAGGATGATAATGAGTTCCCATATTGGCTAGAGGCAAGTTCAACAACTTCATGTAACCAGTTTGGGTTTTGGAACCTTACCAGATGTGGGGCCCCTAACGAACCCATAGAACACTAAACATGAGTTAATCATTACTAGAGCAGATAATTTATGCTCAGCAAAAAACTATTTATTTTATTTATTAATGCATCAGCCATTTCCCACCAAGGCAGGGTGGCCCGAAAAAGAAAAACTTTCACCATCATTCACTATCACTGTCTTGCCAGAGGGGTGTTTTACACTACAGTTATAAAACTGCAACAATAACACCCCTCCTTACGAGTGCAGACACTGTACAGTGGACCCCCGCATAGCGAACTTAATCCGTGCAAGAGGGCTGGTCGTTATGCGAAATGTTCGCTATGCGAATTAATTTTCCCCATAAGAAATAATGGAAATAAAATTAATCCGTGCAAGACACCCAAAAGTATGAAAAAAATTTTTTTTTTACCACAAAAAAATGTTAATTTTAGTACACACAAACTGAAAAAGGCATGCACAATTACATGACACTTACTTTTATTGAAGATCTGGTGATGATTGATGGGATGGGAGGAGGGAGAGAGAGTGTTAGTGTTTAGAAGGGAATCCCCTTCCATTAGGACTTGAGGTAGCAAGTCCTTTTCCCGGGGTTACTTCCCTTCTTCTTTTAATGCCACTAGGACCAGCTTCAGAGTCACTGGACCTCTGTCGCACAACAAATCTGTCCATAGAGCTCTGTACCTCCCGTTCCTTTACGATTTGTCTAAAATGGGCCATAACATTGTCATTGAAATAGTCACCAGCACGGCTTGCAACAGCTGTGTCAGGGTGATTTTCATCCATAAAGGTTTGCAGTTCAACCCACTGTGCACACATTTCCTTAATTTTTGAAGTAGGCACAATGGATTCCACAACTGGCATAGGCTTCTCAGGGTTAGCCCCAAACCCTTCAAAATCTTTCTTAATTTCCATACTAATTCTCACCCTTTTTACCACAGGGTTGGCACTAGAAGCTTTCTTGGGGCCCATGGTCACTTATTTTCCAGAAACAGCACCGAAAACACTGTAATAATACGAAATATTCCGAGTGTATGCTTGAATGTTACCGCGGAGGCTGGCTGGTAAACAATGGGACGGGAGGCACATGTGAGGCTGGCTGAGGCCGCACATTGGACGCGTCTCGGACGAAGGTCGCTGAGCGGGTTTTTGTCCACTATGCGGGGCAAAATTTTGGCGAACAAAGCGTTCGCTATGCGGATTGTTCGCTATGCAAGGCGTTCGCTATGCGGGGGTCCACTGTACTTCCCATCTCCAGGACTCAAGTCTGGCCTGCTGGTTTCCCTGAATCCCTTCATAACTACTACCTTGCTTACACTCCAACAGCACGTCAAGTCCTATAAACCATTTGTCTCCATCCGTTCCTGTCTAACACATTCATGCAGGCTTGCTGGAAGTCCTAGCCCCTCGCACACAAAACCTCCTTTACCCCCTCCCTCCAACTTTTCCTAGGCCGACTCCTACCCCGCCTTTCCTCCACTACAGATTTGTATACTCTTTAAGTCATTCTATTCCGTTCCATCCTCTCTACATGTCCAAACCATCTCAAACCTCCTCAGCCCTCTGGATAATAGTTTTGGTAATCCCACACCTCCTCCTAATCTCCAAACTACGGATTCTCTGCATTATATTCACACCACACATTGCCCTCAGACATGACATCTCCACTGCCTCCAGCCTTCTCCTTGGAAATAAATGGTATAAAATACCGACACAATGGCAATATAAACACAAATGCAGTATAATGTGATCCTTTATTGACTACGTTTCGCCCACACAGTGGGCTTTTTCAAGTCACAAACAGAACTACCTGGGGTGGAAGGAACGCGAGTATTTATAGTCCGGCTGAGGTCAGGTGAAGAATGCTGCATCTGATGATGTACCGAGTGGGGTTGTAGAGTCTAAAAACTTGGGTAGCTTGGAAAGGAGATTGGATAAGTTTGTGAGCAGACCTTCTACAGTGTTCTTATGTGGGATAGCGATGAAGAAGTTTCTTGGCAAGTGGTTCAGCTATGTTATAGAAGCCACTATTCTGGTTGAAGTTGTCGGATATAGAAATAAGTGATGATTCCAGGATTCTTCGGTATTGAGTGTTGTCTTCTGTGGCGATAAGTCTTGAGTTTCTGTAGTTTATCAAGTGGTTGTGTGAATTACGGTGTTGTACGCAGGCATTCCTTGTGTCGTCAGACCTGCTTGCGTATTGGTGTTCTGAAATACGTGTTTGGAGGTCCCTTGATGTTTCGCCCACGTATAACTTGTTGCAGTCATTACAAGGGATTATGTATACCCCTGCAGAGGATGGAGGCTTGTCCTGCCTACTACTGGTGATGTCCTTGATGGTCGTGGTTGTGGAGGTAGATACTTGGAATGATGTTTTGGCAAAGATGTTGGAAACATGTTTGGCAATGGAGTTGGTGGGAAGGACTATGTATCTCTTCTCGGCAGTGTCTTCTCTGGGTGTGTTGAAGATGTTTAATGCTCGCCGTCCTGCTCTGCAAAGCTGACCACGAACTTCGTTTTAAAGTCTATCGAAAACCCACCAACCAAAACGATCTTCTCCACTTCTACTCTCACCACGACACCAAAACCAAACGTGGTGTAATTATAGGCTTCTTCCTGCGTGCACTCAGAATCTGCAGCAACGAGTTCCTTGAGGAAGAATGCACTATAATTGAACAAATATTTTCTAAACTCCACTATCCTCGTCACTTCATCAGAGACTGCAGACGGCGAGCATTAAAAATCTTCAACACACCCAGAGAAGACCTGCCGAGAAGAGATACATAGTCCTTCCCACCAACTCCATTGCCAAACATGTTTCCAACATCTTTGCCAAAACATCATTCAAGTATCTACCTCCACAACCACGACCATCAAGGACATCACCAGTAGTAGGCAGGACAAGCCTCCATCCTCTGCAGGGGTATACATAATCCCTTGTAATGACTGCAACAAGTTATACGTGGGCGAAACATCAAGGGACCTCCAAACACGTATTCAGAACACCAATACGCAAGCAGGTCTGACGACACAAGGAAGCCTGCGTACAACACCGTAATTCACACAACCACTTGATAAACTACAGAAACTCAAGACTTATCGCCACAGAAGACAACACTCAATAACGAAGAATCCTGGAATCATCACTTATTTCTATATCCGACAACTTCAACCAGAATAGTGGCTTCTATAACATAGCTGAACCACTTGCCAAGAAACTTCTTCATCGCTATCCCACATAAGAACACTGTAGAAGGTCTGCTCACAAACTTATCCAATCTCCTTTCCAAGCTACCCAAGTTTTTAGACTCTACAACCCCACTCGGTACATCATCAGATGCAGCATTCTTCACCTGACCTCAGCCGGACTATAAATACTCGCGTTCCTTCCACCCCAGGTAGTTCTGTTTGTGACTTGAAAAAGCCCACTGTGTGGGCGAAACGTAGTCAATAAAGGATCACATTATACTGCATTTGTGTTTATATAGCCTTCTCCTTGTTGCAACATTCACAACCCAGGCCTCACACCCATACAAGAGCATTGGTATAACTATACAATGGACCCTCGCCTAACAAACGCACCTAACAATAAAAAACTCGCCCAACATGATTTGTCCCGAACCTGTCCGTCCAGCCTGAGCGCCGCGGCTGCCCTGCCATAGTTGTTTACAAGCCAGGGTGGCCAGTTGCATGCATGCATTCGATACATTTTGTATTATTCCATTGTTTATAGTGCTTGTAACTGCTAAATAAGCCATCATGGGGCCGAAGAAAGCTTCTAGTGCCAACCCTGTGGTAAAAAGGGTGAGAAATACTATCGTAACAAGGTCAGCTGCTGCTGCACCACAATCAGCTGTTGCTGCACCACGGTCAGCTGTTGCTGCACCACCATCAGCTGTTGCTGCATCACAGTCAGCTGTTGCTGCACCACGGTCAGCTGTAGCTGCACCAGTCAGCTGCTGCTGCACCACCGTAAGCTGTTGCTGCACCACAGCTGCTGCTGCACCACAGTCAGCTGTTGCTGCACCACCGTCAGCTGTTGCTGCACCACGGTCAGCTGTTGCTGCACCACGGTCAGCTGCTGCTGCACCACGGTCAGCTGCTGCTGCACCACAGTCAGCTGCTGCTGCACCACAGTCAGCTGTTGCTGCACCACAGTCAGCTGTTGCTGCACCACAGCCTGCTGCTGCACCACCATCAGCTGTTGCTGCACCACAGTCAGCTGTTGCTGCACCACAGTCAGCTGCTGCTGCTGCATCACAGTCAGCTGTTGCTGCACCATTGTCAGCTGTTGCTGCACCACGGTCAGCTGCTGCTGACTGCCCATGCTCCCTCTCCATAGGATGGTAAAAGCTCATGATAGGGGCTTCTTGCAGTTCTTGATGAACACGGAGTTCCACGAGTCTGGCCCTGGGGCAAAGTGCATGGGCATGTCATTTATCTCCTGTTCAAAGTCATTTGGCATCAGGATAACATCAGATAGGCTTGTATTAACCAAATTCTGTGGCTCTCTCATAAAAAATTCATTTTGATCTTCGACTCTCAGTCTGGTTAGCGGCTTGCTAAAAACCGAGTCATATTGGGACTTGAGTAGCTCACTCATTTCCTTGCACTGCTGCCTTCGTTTCTCTAGCTTTTTTCATAGTTTCTAATCACTTCCTGAGCTTCTTGCTGATTGTACACAAATACTGTCTTTGGGTGAGGTACTGCGTATGAAATTTGTACAATATAAGACAAAATTACGCATCCCAGGGGTTTGCTGTGGTCACTCAGAGCGGCTCACCTCCTCTTCCTTTTAACCCATCGTTGGCACTGAGATAACAGTGGTCTAGCAGTACCTACAGCCACCCAGAGGGTTACCAATTTGAATTTTGAAGCCTTTGGCACAAAAATATTAAAAAAAAATTATGAGAAATGTCTAAAAATGACAACATATTAATATTATTATTATTATTCTTAGTGGTATAAACCTTGGTAATAAATACCGACAAGTTGGTTTAGAAAGACACGTAAGCAAACACTATAACATATTTATTAGAAAACGTTTCGGTCCTGGGACCTTGATCACTTCTCAGTGATCAAGGTCCCAGGACCGAAACGTTTTCTAATAAATATGTTATAGTGTTTGCTTACGTGTCTTTCTAAACCATTATTCTTAGTGCGTATGTATTACTATAAATATTAAAATATACGGATTATAATAATTTATTATTATTAATTTAGGGAACTGGAGCACAGATCCAATTCCCTAGATCAAGAGCCCATCACCCATACATACTACTACAGTGGACCCCGAGTTTCGTGATTAATCCGTTCCAGAGAGCCTGCCAAAAGTCAAAATTCACGAAACTCGAAACCATTTTCCCCCATACGAAATAATGGAAATAAAATTAATCCATTCCAGACACCCAAAAATATTAAAATAATTTTTTTTTTCAAATAAAATAAAGATTTATATACTGAAATCAATGAGAAATCAAGTACATGCATATAAAAAATAATAATAACATTACACTTACCTTTACTGAAGACTTCTGGGTGGATGGAAGACAGGAGGAGGGGATAGGAGGAAGGTGTACACTATTGTTTGGAAGGAGAATCTCCTTCCATTAGGACTTTAGGTAGCAAGTCCTTATCTGGGGTTACTTCCTTTCTTCTTTTAATGCCACTGGGAACAACTTGAGAGTCACTGGACCCCTGTTGCACAAAAAATCTGTCCAGAGAGGTCTTTTTCTGGCATTTCTTTAAGATTTCCCTGAAGTGGGACACAACACTGTCATTGTATATGTTGCAGATATGGCTTGTTTCAGCTTGGTCAGGGTGATACTTTTCAACAAAACTTTGTAACTCATTCCACATTCCACACATGTCCTTAATCACTGAAGAAGGAACCTCCTTCACTCTCTTTTCCTCCTCCTCTGAAGCAAGTTCCTCGGCTGTGGTCTGATGCTGTTCCAGTTGAAGCTCTTGCAGTTCGTCAGTGGTTAGCTCTTCCCTGTGGCCCTCCACCAACTCTTCCACATCCCCGTCACTCACCTCCAACCCCATGGACTTGCCCAATGCCCCAACACCTTCCACAACAGGCAGAGGGTCGGCAGGGACAGGATCTGCCTCAAACCCTTCAAAATCCCTCTGGATCGTGTTCCTCACTTTATTTACCCAAGAGCTTACACTAGCTTTCCTTGGGTCCATGATGACTTATTTAGCAGTTGCAAGCACAAAAAACAATGGATTATTATGAAATGTATTGTATGAACCCGCAGGGTGATGGTCAAATGTTGGTAAACAATGGCACACTGAGCGTGAATGGCGTGGGACACTGGCTTGGTGTGCGCGGTGACAGGTGGACGGGTACCGGACGGTCGCCGAAACATGAGTCTAATCACGAAACTCAAGGCCAAATTTTGCCAAAAAAAACTCACCGAAGGTCGAATTTCACAAAAGTCGATGCTGCCAAAACTCGAGGATCATCTGTAGTACTAATAATAATAATAATAATAATAATAATAATAATAATAATAATAAAAATAATAATAATAATAATAATAAAAACAATAACAGTAAGGAGAAACTTCAAAAGGCTGCCAGTAGTTGGTGCAGCCTTCAGCAAAACATTGGTAACAACTACTAGTACACTTTTCACTTGTCTAGACTTAGCAGTCTACAAGTATTAGGTTAAGTCTGCCCAAAATGCCTGGGCATGATAGTGGCTTTCTTTGCTCCAATTATATTACGATAGGTAAACACACATTGTAACCTTCACAAAGAAATAAATATTTTATTTATTTATTTATTTAAAGAACCTCCCTTGAGGGGAAAGTTCACACCCTGAAATTTCCTTTGTATCCAGAAGCAAAAAATAGACTGAACGACAGTTTGTTATATTTTATTATTAACACACTGGCCGATTCCCACCAAGGCAGGGTCGCCCGAAAAAGAAAAACTTTCACCATCATTCACTCCATCACTGTCTTGCCAGAAGGGTGCTTTACACTACAGTTTTTAAACTGCAACATTAACACCCCTCCTTCAGAGTGCAGGCACTGTACTTCCCATCTCCAGAACTCAAGTCCAGCCTGCCGGTTTCCCTGAATCCCTTCATAAATGTTACTTTGCTCACACTCCAACAGCACGTCAAATATTAAAAACCATTTGCCTCCATTCACTCCTATCAAACACGCTCACGCATGCCCACTGGAAGTCCAAGCCCCTCGCACATAAAACCTCCTTTACACCCTCCCTCCAACCTTTCGTAGGCCGACCCCTACCCCGCCTTCCTTCCACTACAGATTGATACACTCTAGAAGTCATTCTGTTTTGCTCCATTCTCTCTACATGTCCGAACCACCTCAACAACCCTTCCTCAGCCCTCTGGACAACAGTTTTGGCAATCCCGCACCTCCTCCTAACTTCCAAACTACGAATTCTCTGAATTATATTCACACCACACATTGCCCTCAGACATGACATCTCCACTGCCTCCAGCCTTCTCCTTGCTGCAACATTCATCACCTATGCTTCACACCCATATAAGAGCATTGGTAAAACTATACTCTCATACATTCCCCTCTTTGCCTCCAAGGACAAAGTTCTTTGTCTCCACAGACTCCTAAGTGCACTGCTCACCCTTTTCCCCTCTCAATTCTATGATTCACCTCATCTTCATAACCCATCCGCGACACGTCCACTCCCAAATACTGAATACATTCACCTCCTCCATACTCTCTCCCTCCAATCTTTCATCGCCTTATCTTTTTATCCTCATAAAATTACTCTTTCCTGTATTCACTTTTAATTCTTTTCTTTACTACCCTACCAAATTCATCCACCAACCTCTGCAACTTCTCTTCAGAAACCCCAAAAGGCACAGTCTCATCAGCAAAGAGCAACTGTGACTACTCCCAATTTATGTGTGAACTTCTTTAATCTTTTACTCCAACCACTTGTCAAGACCCTCGAATTTCACTACTCTACAACCCCAGTCTATAAAAATAATAAACAACCACAGTGACACACACATCCTTGTCTAAGCATACTTTACTGGGAAATAATCTCCTCTTATCCTACATACTCTAACTTTGAGCCTCACTATCCTCATAAAAACTCTTCACTGCTTTCAGTAACCTACTTCCTGTACAACACTGCAACATCTGCCACAATGCCCCTCCTATCCACCTTGTCATATGCCTTTCCAAATCCATAAATGCACAAAAAACCTCTTTAGCCTTATCAAAATACAGTTCACTTATATGTTTCACTGAAAACACCTGTTCCACACACCCCACTACCTTCGTAAGGGCCTCCTTGTTCATCTGCTAACCTATTCTCCGTCTAACCCATCTTTATTCTTTCAAATAACTACCATCACAGCTTAACAAGTACAGTGACCCCCGGTTTGCGACATTAATTCCGTTCCCGAGAGCTCGTCATAACCAAAATTATCAGAAAGCAATCAATATTATCCCATAAGAAAAAAGGGAACATCAAATATAATCCTGCAAGACACCCAAAAGTATGAAAAAAAAAAAATTTATACCGCATGAAAATATTACGTTAAATGCACACAAACTGAAGAAGACAAGCACAGTTTGTAGTATGTACTCTACTAACAATAGAATACATGACACTTACCTAATGAAATCTGGTGTGACTGATGGATGGAGGAAATCCACTTCCATTAGGACTGATTAGCAAGTCCATTCTTCGGTTACTACCCATCTATCTTTTAATGCCACCTATGACCAGCTTCCTCCCAGTAATGTAGTCCTGCATGGCAATTTTCTATCCCAAAACAGGCGGGTTTCCGTCCAATTAAACAATTGTTCAGTTTAAATTCTTCACTGTCCTAATGTAATCCTTGAATTCCTCGACAGTATTTTTTTTCAGACGCTTTTGGTCCTAACTGGCCAGCCTCACCATCCTAATCACACAATGTATCACAACGATTCTTAAATCTTATCCAAACCAACCTTTGCAGCCTTAAAATCGCTCACATCACCACTATTCAGGCAATTTCTTTACCAAATCGTCATGCAAAGCCTAGCCCTTTTCACAAATGAAAGGCTTGAGAGATGCAATCTCCAGCTATCTGTTTTATTCCATTTATCCACACCAATAACAGTGTCTGACAACATCTCTAACACTAAGCAGTCGCTGTTTCGTACACAGTTCACCATTGCAACAACAGCTTCCTTGATTGCGGTTTTCCTGTCACTAAGTCATGATGTTGAGTGGGTTTTTTAACCAACTTGAGCTAGCTCCCACACACGCACCTCCACTTTCGTACTTTGCAATTATCTCTTTCCTCCATCATAGTCCATTAGCACCCTTTTTTCTTGAAGGGTGTGGCACAGTAGCTTTACATTGGAGCCCATGGTTGACTTACTTTTGCAAACAAGCACAAAACAACAGTGATAAAATTGAATGTGATCGAATGTATGCTCAAATGCGAGCACACTGGCTGGCATAACACACTGGCACACTCGGTGCAGTTCAGGCCACATTTGGACACATCTCTGACGAAATCCGTATACCCGGGTTTTGTAACGGAAACCGAGGCAAAATTTTTGCGATACAAAGCATCGAATTACCGATTAATCAGGATACCGAATGGCATATTTCCTATTCAAAGAGGAACTATGCATGCACTCTGCCATCCCCCCAAGGTACAGCCCCTCTTCCATACAATTATTAACTAAAAGCACCAACCACTTCCAAAACTAATATCCCCACCCGCTTTAACATTTCTATCTTTATCCCATCAACCAGCTGCTTACCCCCTTCCTTTGTCCTACTGCAATCACGAACTTCCCACACTCACAACAGGTTCTCCTCACTCCTACAAGATGTTATTCCTCCTTGCCCTATACACGAAATCACAGCATTTAACAATTCCTCAAAATATTACCTTCACCTTCCCAATACCTCTAACTCTCCATTTAATAACTTCCTCTCCTATTTTTAACTGACAAATCCATTTGTTCTCTAGGCTCCTTAACTTGTTAATCTCACTCCAAAATTTTTTTCTTATTTTCAACAAAATCTGTTGATAACATCTCACCCACTCTCTCATTTGCTTTCTTTTACTTTTCTGCCCACTCTCTTAACCTCTCTTTTTTTCTCCATATACTCTTCCCTCCTTGCATCATTTTCTATTTTGTAAAAACTTGTCATATGCTAGCTTTCCCCCTTACTACTCTCTTTACATCATTCCACCAATTGCTCCTCTTCCCCGCACCCACTTTCCTGTAACCAAAAAATTTTGGGCTGAACACTCAAACACTACATTTTCAAACCCTACCCCAGACCTCTTCGACCCATTGCCTATTCTCTCATTAACCCATCTATCCTCCAATAGCTGTTTATATCTTACCCTAACTGCCTCCTCTTTAGTTTATAAACTTCACCTCTCTCTTCCCTGATGCTTCTATTCTCCTTGTATCCCATCTACCTTTTACTCTCAGTGTAGCTACAACTAAAAAGTGATCTGATATATCTGTGGCCCCTCTATAACTGTACATCCTGAAGTCTACTCAACAGTCTTTTATCTACCAATACATAATCCAACAAACTACTGTCATTTCGCCCTACATCATATCTTGTATACTTATTTATCCTCTTTTTCTTAAAATATGCATTACCTATAACTAAACCCCTTTCTATACAAAGTTCAATCAAAGGGCTCCCATTATCATTTACACCTGGCACCCCAAACTTACCTACCACACCCTCTTTAAAAGTTTCTCCTACTTTAGCATTCAGGTCCCTTACGACAGTTTGTATCCTGAAAAATTCACATGGTGGGGTGTTCGTAAGCCGAGGTTCCACTGTACAATGCCTGCACCTTGAAGGTTGGGTTTTGGATATTGGTAGTTTGGAGGGACTTCTAAACTGTTGTATCTGAGTGCCTCTGAAAAGACAGTGATTATGTATGAGTGATGGTGAAAGTGTTGAATAATGAAAGTTTTTTCTTTCTTCTTGGGTTTTTCTTTCTCTTTGGGTCACCCTGCCTCGGTGGGAAACATCCAACATGTTGAAAAGTAAAATAAAAGATTTGACATCAATTTGTAACATTGAATGAACCATAGGAAGGTGCTTGTCACCATTGTACATTATCTACATAAACATGGTTTAAAGAACACATGAGCAATCACTAGAACATATTATATCAGTAAACTTTTCGATCCTGGGACCCTGATCACCTCTAATGTTAGAAGTTAGTAGTAATCTAGGTCACAGGACCAAAACACTTCCTAATGAAATATGTCCTAGTGTCAGCATCTATTACTAAGGTCAGGCCCTGGTCTGCCACCAGGCCTGGTCATGGTCAGGGCCACGGGAGCGTTCACCCCTGGAACTCCCTTTACGTATACTCTAAGTAAGGTTTATACCATGGCAAGCATAGGCAGAGCTTAATGAACCCTTGTTGCCTTCCCACCTTTTCCCCACTCACTCACTCACTCACTCACTCACTCACTCACTCACTCAAAGTCAGTTTTTACAACATGGTTCACCAATTAACAGGTTACTAACCCATAAAAATGTCCTCTAATAAAGTCATTTATCTTCTCCTTGGATATTGCATGAAGGTTCTGGAATTCATGGAGAGCAGCAAATTTTTTAACATTGAGTCCATTGGGTGTGACAATATCTGCCTTGCGCTTTAACAGGTGCTCAGCTTCCACTGCAGTGATCTCTGATACAGTGGTGAAGGTGTGTGTCAAGTGGGCAGAGCATCTCTCCATGCAGTACCTGTGATAGATGCCCCTTATGCCTGCTTCTTCATCTATGTGAAACTGAAAAATTTAAACAAATGTCAGATGTTAATACATTAACAAATAACTGATACTAAAGCATGGTACTGTACTACAGAAGCATTCAATTTTTTACCAAACAGACCATTTCAAAGATACAGTCTGCATGAATAATGGAAAATTCAACAATGGATTAAAATGATCATAAATAGGGTGCTTGAAATCATTAGTGTATACTCTACAATGCAATATTTGTAAATTCACTCTGAATTTACAAAAATCTTTTCCTTAGTGGACCCTGGGTACATCATGGCCTTCCTTTTTTATTTTTTTTTCAACAAGTCGGCCGTCTCCCACCGAGGCAGGGTGACCCAAAAAAGAAAGAAAATCCCCAAAAAGAAAATACTTTCATCATCAATCAACACTTTCACCACACTCACACATTATCACTGCTTTTGCAGAGGTGCTCAGAATACAACAGTTCAGAAGCATACACATATAAAGATACACAACATATCCCTCCAAACTGCCAATATCCCAAACCCCTCCTTTAAAGTGCAGGCACTGTACTTCCCATTTCCAGGACTCAAGTCTGACTATATAAAAAAAACCGGTTTCCCTGAATCCCTTCACTAAATATTACCCTGCTCAACTCCAACAGATCGTCAGGTCCCAAGTATCATTCGCCTCCATTCACTCCTATCTAATACGTTCATGCATGTTTGCTGGAAGTCCAAGCCCCTAGCCCACAAAACCTCCTTTACCCCCTCTTTCCAAACCCTTTCGAGGACGACCCCTACCCCTCCTTCCTTCCCTATAGATTTATTTGCTTTCCATGTCATTCACCCTTTTATCCATTCTCTCTAAATGACCATACCACCTCAACAACCCTCTACTGCCCTTGACTAATGCTTTTATTAACTCCACACCTTCTCCTAATTTCCACACTCCGAATTTTCTGCATAATTTTACACCACACATTCCCCCTTTTGGCAGAAAGGGGGCCCTAGTCAAAGAGGATAGGGGGGGGGTTAAAAAGGGGTTTGGGAAATGTTTTAAAAATGCAGTTTTAAAATGGGGGCAGAAGTTTGTGGTTAAGGGAGGGGGGGGGGCGGAGGAAAGGGAGTGATTGGGGAATGATGAAGAAAAAGGGTGTGAAAAAAAAGGAAAAAAGGTAGTTTATGGGGGTTTTTACAAAGCAGAAGTGTTATAAGAAGGCAGAGAAGGGAGAGTAAAAGAAAGGTAAAAAAGGTGGGAGAAAAAGTGCAAAAGGGAAAGTGAAGGTGGGAGAGGCACGTCAAAAAATTTTTTAATGAAAAAAAAAAAAATTTTTGGAAAAAGGGTTTTAAACAAGTTAAGAAATGGGGGAAAATTTGGATTTCCGTTATAAACAAGTGGGGGAGTTAGTAGATGGGGGAATGGAGGTATTGGGTAGAGGGCGAGAATATTTTTGGGGACTTTTAAATTTTAAAGGAAGAAACAGAGGCATAATTTCATGCACTGGTCAGGGAGGTAACCATTTTTTAGGAGTAAGAAGAGCAAAATGTAAGTGGGGGGGAGTACGTGAGGCATTACGTAAAATGAAGGGGGTAAAGCAGCGGAATGAGGGTATGCAGAAATTTTAAAAGCGGGGGGGGGATATAGTGTTGGGGGGTTGGTACTTTTGTTTAAAAAATTGTATAAAAAGAGGGGAAGGTCCCTGGGTTTGGGGGGAGAGCATGTATAGTCCCTTTATAAAAAGGGAAAGGGGACAAAAGAGACTGTAAAAATTAAAGGGGAATAAGTTCTGATATACCGGGAAAAGTTACGGTAGGGTTATAATTGAAAGAATTAGGGGTAGACAAAAGTGGGAGCGGTTTGAGAAGGGGTTTTCAGAGTGGGTAGGGGATGTGTAGATCAGGTTTTAAATTTGATGATATAGTGAACATTTTAGAAAAAGATAGGGAAGTTTTTATTGCATTTAGGGTTTTAAAAAGGCATTGTAGAGTGGTAGGGAGCAAGGGGGCAGATTTGCAGTAATGGAATGGGGTGGTAATTATTAAAGCTTAAAGAGTTTTTTATGGGATGTGAGGCTCGGTTGGGTGTGTAGAAAGGAGGGGACTACTTCCGGTAAAAGTGGGTTTAGCAGGGAGTGTAATGTCACCAGGGTTTGTTTAATATATTTTAATGGGGTTGTAAGGAAAAAAATGCTAGGGTTTTTGGGAGGGGGTGGGTTAAATTATGGGAATCAAATTGAAGGGGAATTGCACGTTATTTTTTGTGAGGATCGTCTTAGGGAGATTCAAAGAAAAATTGCAAAGGTTAGTGGATAGTTTGGGAATGTGTGTAAAGGTAGAAGTTGAAAGTGAAAATAGAAAAGAGTAAGGTGATGAGGGTGTCAAATTATTTAGATAAAAAAAAAATTTGGGTATCAAATTTTGGGGGGGGAGTAGGAAGAAGTAATGTTTTCAATATTGGGATTGACGTGTCGGCGGGTGGGTTTAGAAAGGGGAGGTTTAAAATAGAATTGATGAGGGAAAAAAGGGGGGTGCGTTGGGTTATGGGAGTCAAAAAAAGTTTTCTTGGGGGCAAAAAAGGGAATGTATGAAAGTAAGTAGTACCAACACTCTTATTGGGTGGAAGCTTGGGTGGTAAAGCAGCAGCGAGGGGAAAAGGTTTGGAGGGAGTGGAGATGTCCTGTTTAAGGGGAAAGTGTGGGGTAAATATTATGCAGAAAATTCGGGGTGTGGAAAATTTGGAGAAGGGTGGATTAAAAAAAGTATTTGTCGGGCAGAAGAGGGGTGTTGAGGTGGTTTGGCATTTAGAGAGAATGGATCAAGTGAATGACATGGGAAAACTATAAATCTATAGGGGAAGGGAAGGGGGGGTAGGGGGCATCCTCGAAAGGGTTGGAGAGAGGGGGTAAGGAGGTTTTGTGGGGAAGGGGCTTTGGGTTCCGCAAGCGTGCGTGAGGTGTTAGTGGAGTGAATGGAGACGAATGGTATTGGGACCTGACGATCTGTTGGAGTGTGAGCAGGGTAATATTTAGTGAAGGGATTCAGGGAAGCCGGTTATTTTCATATAGTCGGACTTGAGTCCTGGAAATGGGAAGTACAATGCCTGCACTTTAAAGGAGGGGTTTTGGGATATTGGCAGTTTGGAGGGATATGTTGTGTATCTTTATATGTGTATGCTTCTAGACTGTTGTATTCTGAGCACCTCTGCAAAAACAGTGATAATGTGCGAGTGTGGTGAAAGTGTTGAATGATGATGAAAGTATTTTCTTTTTGGGGATTTTCTTTCTTTTTTGGGTCACCCTGCCTCGGTGGGAGACGGCCGACTTGTTGAAAAAAAAAAAAAAAATATATATATATATATAGTGGCAGGAGTCAGGTGAGGTGACATGTGGGTAGAGGTGGTGGTAGCAGTAGTAGTAGTAGTAGTAATGGAACTAAGGAGGTGAGGCTAGAGAGGGACCTGCTGGCATCAAGTAACACCAGTTCCCAGGATGGGTAATATCCTCTTGCTTAGTAATTTTGAAATACTGTAACTACCGGATTTTTGCTTTATAGTGTTACTGACAGAAATTAGTGCAGCTTCAATGCATTTTCTCCGTCTTAAGTCGTCTTCTTTAATAACTAGTTTAGCTTCATTGAATTTCATGAGGTGTCCAACATCGTCTCTATGTTGAACACATGCGTTTTTGCGGTCATCATTTCTGCAAGCATTTTTGTGTTCTGCTATCCTAATGTCCAGAGTTCTGGCTGTTTCCCCTACATATACTTTGTCACACCCCCCACATGGTATAGTGTAGATTCCTGCACTTGTGCCAGAATCATGCTTGGGTTTTTGTAACGGGTTCCTAATATAGTTTGAAGAGCTGGCAGATATTTTAGCCAGTTTTCTGTCAAACATTTTTGAAACATTAGTGGCAACGTTGCTGACCGGTAAAACGATGTAACTTGGAGGCTTTTCTTCAATTTGATAGGTGTTGGTCTTGCTGAGGATACGTGTCGCACGTTTCCTGCAGTCACGTATGAAGTGTAGGGGAAAGTGTAGTGAACTAAAAGAGTTGGTGATGTATGTACATTCTTCTTCGAGGAACTGCAGACTGGAAATTCTGTAGGCTCTCAGAAAGAAGCCAATAACTACCCCTCTTTTAGTTCTTGTGTCATGGTGAGAGAAGAAATGTAGAAGATCGTTCTTGTAGGTAGGCTTCCGGTAGACTTTAAAAGAAAGTTTGTTTTCCCCTGTGCATAAGAGAACGTCGATAAAAGGTAATTGGTTGTCCTTCTCCTCCTCTAATGTAAATTTAATAGTAGGTTCCAGAGTGTTGATGGTGTTGAGGATGCCCCGTACATCAAGATTTTTGGGTACAATGACCAAAATATCATCTACGTACCGCATCCATGTAACTGAACGAGGGATGTTACTGAGGATCCTTCTTGATTCCAGGTCCTCCATATATAAATTGGCCAGAACTGCACTAAGGGGGGATCCCATGGCTAGTCCGAAGAGTTGTTTGTACTTCTTGTCCTCGAACCTAAAACAGTTATGACGAACACAAAGTTCGACAAGGCTCACAAAATCTTGGCGGGGTACAGGTAACTCTGTATCATCTTTAGTCACCCTGCAAAGAAGATCAATGGCTTGATCAACTGGGACATTGGTGAATAAGGCAGTCACGTCAAAACTTGCAAGCTTCTTATCACTCATGTCGAGATCCCTGATGCGGTTATGGAGGTCACCCGAACTGCGACACGTATCCTCAGCAAGACCAACACCTATCAAATTGAAGAAAAGCCTCCAAGTTACATCGTTTTACCGGTCAGCAACGTTGCCACTAATGTTTCAAAAATGTTTGACAGAAAACTGGCTAAAATATCTACCAGCTCTTCAACTACTATTAGGAACCTATTACAAAAACCCAAGCATGATTCTGGCACAAGTGCAGGAATCTACACTATACCATGTGGGGGGTGTAACAAAGTATATGTAGGGGAAAAAATGCTTGCGGAAATGATGACCGCAAAAACGCATGTGTTCAACATAGAGACGATGTTGGACACCTCATGAAATTCAATGAAGCTAAACTAGTTATTAAAGAAGACGACTTAAGACGGAAAAAATGCATTGAAGCTGCACTAATTTCTGTCAGTAACACTATAAAGCAAAAATCCGGTAGTTACAGTATTTCAAAATTACTAAGCAAGAGGATATTACCCATCCTGGGAACTGGTGTTACTTGATGCCAACAGGTCTCTCTCTAGCTTCACCTCCTTAGTTCCATTACTACTACTACTACTACTACTACTACCACCTCTACCCACACGTCACCTCACCTGACTCCTGCCACTATATATATATACAGTGGACCCCCGCATAATGATCACCTCCGAATGCGACCAATTATGTAAGTGTATTTATGTAAGTGCGTTTGCACGTGTATGTTTGGGGGTCTGAAATGGACTAATCTACTTCACAATATTCCTTATGGGAACAAATTCGGTCATTACTGGCACCTGAACATACTTCTGGAGTGAAAAAATATCGTTAACCGGGGGTCCCACTGTATATGTTTTCTTAGTTTTCTCTGTATTAGGACTGAAGAAGCCACTCGTGGCGAAACGTTTCCTTTAATAAATGTCCTGAACTGTACATAAGTGTCTTTTTCCACATTTTGTCGGTATCACCATACCATTTCCCCACATTATTTATGAAAAAGTTTGCAGAAAAATACGAAGATGGTGGTGGTAGAGTGGAAGCAGTTGTGATAGTGGTTGATGAACATAAGAAAGGAGGATCACTGCAGCAGGCCTGTTGGCCCATGCTCGGCAGGTCCTTTACAATTCAGCCCACTAACGAAACATTTTTCCAATCCAGTCCTCAATGCTACTCAAGAAATAAGCTCTGATAACTCTATCCACTCATTTGCAAGTCCTAAATGAGTGGATAGAGTTATCAGAGCTTATTTCTTGGGTAGCATGGGCCAACAGGCCTGCTGCAGTGATCCTCCTTTCTTATGTTCATCAACCACTATCACAACTGCTTCCACTCTACCACCACCATCTTTGTATTTTTCTACAAACTTCTTCATAAATTATGTGTTTCTCACATTCTTTACCAAAGGGCTGGCACTAGAAGCTTTATTTGGAGCCATGGTAGCTTATTTAGCACTTGCAAGCACTAAAATCAATGGAATATTATGAAATATTTCGTAGGAGCATGTGAGGGGACCGTCACTCACTGGTAAACAATGGCACACTGGCTGGGAAGGAAAGCCCGAGGCGGCTCAGAGCGTGAGTACGCGTCCGGGATGAAGGACTATTAGGACTATTAGCGAGTTACCGGACCATTTGCGAGCCAATATTTTGACGAAAAAACAGGACTATTTCCGAAATGGACGACTTTCAGGCCGGTCGATTATTGAGGGACCACTGTATATATAGTATCTTCTTTCAACACACCGGCCGTATCCCACCGAGGCAGGGTGGCCCAAAAGGAAAAATGAAAGTTTCTCTTTTTAAATTTAGTAATTTATACAGGAGAAGGGATTACTAGCCCCTTGCTCCCGGCATTTTAGTCGCCTCTTACAACACGCATGGCTTAAGGAGGAAGAATTCTGTTCCACTTCCCCATGGAGATAAGAGGAAATAAACAAGAAGAAGAACTAGAAAGAAAATAGAGGAAAACCCAGAGGGGTGTGTATATATATGCTTGTACTTGTATGTGTAGTGTGACCTAAGTGTAAGTAGAAGTAGCAAGATGCACCTGAAATCTTGCATGTTTACGAGACAGAAAAAAAAACCAATAAACCTACCATCACGTAAAACAATTACAGGTTTCCGTTTCACTCACTTGGCAGGATGGTAGTACCTCCCTGGGTGGCTGCTGTCTACCAACCTACTAATATCTTTATTTCTACAAGTACATGTATACAGGCCTAGCTGATATCAATGACATATGTACTACTATACAGGAAGTCGTTTGTTATGCAAAACATTTCGGGCAAATTAGATCAATTTCTTCCAGGGATGCGACCCACACTAGTCAACTAACACCTAGGTACTGTACCCATTTTATAGTGATGGGTGAACACAGACAACCGGTGTAAAGAAACACACCCGATGTTTCAACCCTCGCTGGGAATTGAACCTGGACCCTCACCATGTGAAGTGAGAGATTTTACTACTAGGCCATGGGCCACTACCTACGAGGATTAAAATATAGAATCTAATACAAAGTGGTAGTTATCACAGTTACTTTTTACCAATTACACTGCTTTTGGGAAGTTACAAAGGTTGGTGGATGAATTTGGGAATATGTAAAAGTGGATATAGGAAAGAGAAGGTGACAAGGGTAACAAAAAATTTAGGTAATGAAAGATTAGATATCGGATTGTAAGCAGGGAGTATGGAGGAAGTAAATGTGTTTAGATATTTAAGAGTGGACTTGTCAGTGGATGGGTCTATTAAAGACACGGTGAACCATAGAACTAACGAGGGAAAAAAAAAGGGAGAATTAGTGCACTGAGGTATCTGTGGACACACAGAACATTATCCATGGAGGCAAAAAAGGGGAATGTGTGAGATCATCATGGTGCCAACACTCTTATATGGATGTGAAGCATGGGTTGTGAATGTTGCAGCCAGGAGGCTGGAGGCAGTGGAGATGTCATGTCCAAAGGCAATGCTTGGTGTAAATATTATACAAAGAATTCGTAGTCTGGAGATTAGAAGGATGTGCGGAGTTATTAAAAGTATTATCCAAAGGGATGAGGAGGAGTTGTTGAGGTGGATTGGATTTTAACCCCTAAACTGTTGATGTGTGTAGTGCTCTGATCACAGATCTATGTTGTTTTTTTAAAATAAGAAAGCATGTAAAATCAGACGTAGACCTACGTCCGGAGCACTATGCACATGAACACAGATCTAATAAGAGAATAAAGCTAATAGAGAATAAAAATCAAAAGCTCTAAACTTTGGAAAAAATGGTACCAAAAAATAAAAAGACTTATGAATACATTTCTTCAGAAACAGTAAGGTTATCAGCTGGAATGAGAGCCAAGAGGAGGCAGTAAGTGCTACAACCAATGGACACTTTACAAACACTTAAGTGGAACTGAAGATAAAACACAACAATTATAGGCCTGTTCCTGTAGCTACAAATTTGCAGATAATAATCTAAAAAAAAGACAACCCTCTCACCCAAAACACCCGTAATTTTCAGGGACTGAAAGGTAAAACATTCAGTAATATGTGATAACTAACATTAGGAGCAAGTTCACCTTGTCTAAGTTGTTATAAAAATCCACAGCGCCAGCACAGAGAAATCTGCCAAGTAGAGTAGCATGAGTGGTGAAGACGGTGGCCACGTCAATATTCCTCATTCTCAACATCACCAAGCCCACGCCCGCCAGCCATTCATGGAAATGAGCACATATTCTGGGCTTGTGATCACTGTGATTGACCACCTCTGCACGGAACTAAGAAAAATACAGATTACTCAGCTTAAAATACATAGTAAAGATTTGTGTATGTATTAATAATAATAATAATAATAATAATAATAATAATAATAATAATAATAATAATAATAATAATAATAATAATAATAATAATAATAACAATAATAATAATATAGTTTATTAAGACATGATACATAGTTTTTATTATTTTTTATTATCACACTGGCCGATTCCCACCAAGGCAGGGTGGCCCGAAAAAGAAAAACTTTCACCATCATTCACTCCATCACTGTCTTGCCAGAAGGGTGCTTTACACTACAGTTTTTAAACTGCAACATTAACACCCCTCCTTCAGAGTGCAGGCACTGTACTTCCCATCTCCAGGACTCAAGTCCGGCCTGCCGGTTTCCCTGAACCCCTTCATAAATGTTACTTGCTCACACTCCAACAGCACGTCAAGTATTAAAAACCATTTGTCTCCATTCACTCCTATCAAACACGCTCACGCATGCCTGCTGGAAGTCCAAGCCCCTCGCACACAAAACCTCCTTTACCCCCTCCCTCCAACCTTTCCTAGGCCGACCCCTACCCCGCCTTCCTTCCACTACAGACTGATACACTCTTGAAGTTATTCTGTTTTGCTCCATTCTCTCTACATGTCCGAACCACCTCAACAACCCTTCATCAGCCCTCTGGACAACAGTTTTGGTAATCCCGCACCTCCTCCTAACTTCCAAACTACGAATTCTCTGCATTATATTCACACCACACATTGCTCTCAGACATGACATCTCCACTGCCTCCAGCCTTCTCCTCGCTGCAACATTCATCACCCATGCTTCACACCCATATAAGAGCGTTGGTAAAACTATACTCTCATACATTCCCCTCTTTGCCTCCAAGGACAAAGTTCTTTGTCTCCACAGACTCCTAAGTGCACCACTCACCCTTTTCCCCTCATCAATTCTATGATTCACCTCATCCTTCATAGACCCATCCGCTGACACGTCCACTCCCAAATATCTGAATACATTCACCTCCTCCATACTCTCTCCCTCCAATCTGGTATCCAATCTTTCATCACCTAATCTTTTTGTTATCCTCATAACCTTACTCTTTCCTGTATTCACTTTCAATTTTCTTCTTTTGCACACCCTACCAAATTCATCCACCAATCTCTGTAACTTCTCTTCAGAATCTCCCAAGATCACAGTGTCATCAGCAAAGAGCAACTGTGACAACTCCCACTTTATGTGTGATTCTTTATCTTTTAACTCCACGCCTCTTGCCAAGACCCTCGCATTTACTTCTCTTACAACCCCATCTATAAATATATTAAACAACCACGGTGACATCACACATCCTTGTCTAAGGCCTACTTTTACTGGGAAATAATTTCCCTCTTTCCTACATACTCTAACTTGAGCCTCACTATCCTCGTAAAAACTCTTCACTGCTTTCAGTAACCTACCTCCTACACCATACACCTGCAACATCTGCCACATTGCCCCCCTATCCACCCCGTCATACGCCTTTTCCAAATCCATAAATGCCACAAAGACCTCTTTAGCCTTATCTAAATACTGTTCACTTATATGTTTCACTGTAAACACCTGGTCCACACATGTATTATTATTATTATAATCATAACTGTTGAACCCACAAGGGTCATACAGCTAGCGTACATGTAGACTCAGCAGGTTTGGGAGGCTCACCTGTGGCTGCAATCAACTGCCACAAGTGACGATAGCACAACCTGATTCTGGCAGCCAACGTCTCACAGTCTAGTGGACATTTTATGCTGCTCACTCATAACTTTCTGACCAAAACAGATTACATAGCTTGATACCAATGTTTTCAGGTCCCAGTAATTCATCCTGCTGATATACTTCAGCAGGATGGATATAACAATGTATAGTTTCAGCTCCACCTCAGGCCAGTCACAAGCAGACTTGGCTTCCTCATCAGTGCTATCATAACAGCTGATTCCTTTGTGGGGGAAGCAACCATAAAAATTAAATATAAAAGCCTTTGTCCTAAGCACTTTTCAGGTCCTTTTTAACATCTTGTGATGTATCTGGTGTCTATTTTGTAAGCAGGACTCTTAACCCTTTCACTGTCCATTACATAAAACTACGTCATTCAGGCCAGGGTCCCTGATATAGTTCTATGTCATGAATTCAGCTCACTCAGACAAGCTGTGAGAGGTAAATTTTGACTTATATATGAGAGAATGGGTCTGTGCAGTGGGTGTGCAAGTATTAAAAAAAACAAAATCCTGCCCCCAACCAATGCATGACGGGAAAAAGAAAACCCTGACCGAGTGTTTGGTTGAAACTAGCAATGTTCAGGTGTTTTCTAGGATGGTATTTATGGTTTTACTGGCCATTTCTTGATATCATTAGCCATTTCTTGATATCATTTGAAAGATTGAGGACATACTACAGAAACAGAAATGATTTTGGTTGGTTTCAGGACTGAAAGTAGTTCGATATTGGGCTCAAAGTAGTGGAAATATTCGAGTTTTTGCCAGTTTTCTGAGGAAGGGTAAGACTACCCCAACAATACACAACTGCCAATCTGCTTTGTGGGTTTTTAATAGACTGATTCAATTATTGGGACACTGTAAACCATGACCAATCATTCCTGGTTATATTTTACTATTTGATAAATAAAGTAAATCTTCTATTTTTGTGTGATTATGAATTCAAATGGAAGGCAAATGTAATATATGAGAGGCCTGGGGACATGATTAATGAACAGAGTTAATGTTCTAGTGCCAGGAATGTGTACACTGTTTATTTTGGACTGTTTTTAAATTGGTGTTTTTGTAATTTTGTGTAAACCTGGCCAAATTACAGACTTCTGTGTAACAGTGAAAAGAAAAGTTCCTTGGGCTCAGTCAAATAGAACAGAAGGCATACTAGTTAAATACCTAAGACTTTTACTGAATGGAGCAATAAAATTGGCTTAAAATAGGACTCAAAGTGAGTGAAATTGCTGATGTGTAAATTGTCCCCAGAATGATAACTTTGTGCCTGCATAATTCCGTAAATTTTTTTTATCAAATTTCATACTTTCAGTGTCATTACCTTCAGAAAAACAATTCTCTACCATTTCAGAAAAAGAAAAAATTATAGTGGACACTAAGAGCAATAATAATTTTGGAAGTCTAGACAGTGAAATGGTTAAACTAATTCCACAGCTCAGTTCAACCAAATCTCAGTAGCATGCTTTCTGTTCTACTGACTGAGCAGAAGAAACCACCCGTGCAACCCTCAGAACTACTCTATGAAGTGCACAGAATTCAGCAATTTGGCCAATTTTACAAAAATTCAACAAATTCCAATTTTAAAACAGAGTCCAAAATAAATGCTGTATGCATTCCAGAAACTAAAGCAACCTATCCTCTGTTCATTAATAACATCCCCAGGCCTTTTATGTTATGCTTACCCTTTATTTTGAATGTATTATACAAGATCTTAGCTGTGATCTAATCCAACTGTCTACTCTGTTTAAATGAACTGTAACTTAGATAAGTAATACTGGAAGAACTTACCTCTTCAATAAACTTTGCAACCATAAAGCCAAAGAGTACGGCATCATTGCATTCTATATCTAGGTGTGGAATGCCGATTTTTGTATTTTCAAAAAACTCCTGCTTATAGTCGTTAAGTTTGGCAGATGCTGATCCTATGTCAAAAAGGACAATCTGTGGGTTGCCATCCACAAGCCATCGTCCAGGGTGAACCTTCAATGAAGAATACAACAGTGAATATAATTTGCTATGAGTAAAGCAACAATAATTTCCAAGAAAAATAATAAAAAGTTTTTGGTAGTATTTAAGTCACAGTACTATAGACTATATAGATTTTTTTCATCACATCAACTATTTACCATTAAGGAAGGATGGCCCAAAGTGACATACATTCAACAATGATCATTCAATAGCTGTTTCACCAAAAGTCTGTGAACATCATATTTTGCATAATCATAATAAGAACATTGCCACCCTTCCTTCACAATGCTATGCACTGTACTTCTCACCATCAAGACTCAAATTTAGCTAACTTCTATCCCTGAATCATTTTCAAACATGTTACCTTGCTCATATTCCTACAGCCTGTCAAATTCAGTCTGATAAGCTTACACATGCCTGCAGTATGCTCAACTCCATACCATTCAAAAACTTTCATCCCCTAACACTACCAACACGTATCCATAAATAACTATTCTTCAGTACCTTGGTGCCTCAAGGTAGTGTCCTGGGCTCTTAGCAAATCCTAATCTACACCCTTCTGGTCAACCTATTCTGCTCCATTCTTTTTAAGTTATTAAATCACCTCAATAATCCTTTGGCTGCCCTCTGAATTAGACCTTTCATATCCTTACTCAGTCTCCCAATTTCTATATTCCTTATTCTGTACATAATATTCACACAACATGCTCATCTCAAACATAATATCTCCACTGCTTCCAGTCTCCTCTTCAATGCAACTTTCATATTTATATCTCACACCCATATAAAAGTATTAGCACTACTATATTCTGGTATATTCTCTCTTTTTGTTTCTTAACACATTGGCCGCCTCCCACCGAGGCAGGGTGACCCAAAAAAATGAAACACTTTTGCCAGCATTCATACTATCACTGTCTTTGCAGAGGCACACAGATACGACAGTTTAGATGTCACTCTAAACAGCAAGTGTCCCAAACCCCTCCCTTTTTTTTTTTATCTCCATTAATATATTTCTCTCTTTCCTTCCACCAATTCCTAGATATTCCATCTACACTTTTTTTACGTCTAATCTACTCTATGATTCTCATCTCTCACAGACCTATCCGCTGACACATACACCCTAACACATACTCCTTCCATTAAATCTGATGTTCAATACAGTGGAACCTCAGTTTTCATCATTAATTGATTCCAGAAAGTCTGACGAAAACCAAAATGTACAAAAACTGAAGCAATATTTCCCATAAGAAATAATGTAAATCCAATTAATCTGCTCCAGACACCCAAAAATATTAACAAAAAATACATTTTATAGAGAATAACTATAGTTTTACATACAGAAAACAATGAGAAATAAATATAAATGACTAATGAAATGGATAAATGAACATTTAACATCACTTTTACCTTTATTGAAGACTCTTATTGGTGCAAGGAGGGGAGAGGAAAGAGAGGTTAGTGCTTGGAAGGGGACTCCTCTTCCATAAGTCCCTATCTGGGGTTACTTCACTTCTTTGTCTTTCACTGGCACTAGGACCAGCTTGAGAGTCACTGTACCCCTGTCACACAAAAAAGCTGTCCAGGTCTATTTCTCATGTCTCTTAAGATTTGCTTATAATGGGAAAAGGTATTGTCACTCAATATGCTGCAGACATGGCTTGCAACAGATTTGTTAGGGTGATATTTCTCCACAAAACTTTGCAACTCACTCTACTTTGCACACATGTTCTCAATCCTTTGACTGTTTTGGTCGTACAGTGGACCCCCGGTGTGCGATATTAATCCGTTCCTGAGAGCTCATCGTAAACCAAAATTATCGGAAAGCGAATCAATTTTCCCCATAAGAAATAATGGAAATCAAATTAATCCGTGCAAGACACCCCAAAAGTATGAAAAAAAAAAATTTACCACATGAAATATTAAGTTTAATGCACACAAACTGAAGAAGACATGCACAGTTTGTAGTATGTATTCTACTAACAATAGAATACATGACACTTACCTTTAATGAAGATCTGGTGATGACTGATGGGATGGGAGGAGGGGAGAGTGTCGAATTAATTGTTTAGAAGGGGAATCCCCTTCCATTAGGACTTGAGGTAGCCAGTCCTTTTCCGGGGTTACTTCCCTTCTTTTAATGCCACTACAACCAGTTTGGGAGTCACTGGACTTCTGTCGCACAACATATCTGTCCACAGAGGCCTGCACCTCTCGTTCCTGTATGACTTTCCTAAAGTGGTTCACAACAGTGTCATTGTACAGGTTGCCAACACGGCTTGCAGTAGCTGTGTCAGGGTGATTTTCATCAAAAAAGCTTTGCACTTCAAGCCACTTTCACACATTTCCTTAATCTTTGAAGTAGGCAACTTCTTCAATTTCTCCATCCCCTCCTCCGAAGCAGTTTCCTCAGGTCTGGCCTCTTGCTGTTGAAGATGATCTAGCAGCTCATCAGTGGTTAGATCATCATTGTCCTCCCCCACCAACTCTTCCACATCCTCCCCACTAACCTCCAACCCCAAGGACTTCCCCAATGCCACAATGGATTCCACAACTGGCATATGCTTCTCAGGGTTAGCCCCAAACCCTTCAAAATCCCTTTCTTCTACACATTGTGCCCACAGTTTCTTCCAAGCAGAGTTCAAGGTCCTCTTAGTCACTCCCTCCCAAGCCTTACCTATAAGGTTTACACAACTGAGGATACTAAAGTGATCTTTCCAAAACTCTCTCAGTCAATCGAGTGTCTGAGGTCACTTCAAAGCACTTTTGAAACATAGCTTTTGTGTACAGTTTTTTGAAGTTTGAAGTGATCTGCTGGTCCATGGGCTGCAGAAGAGGAGTGGTATTGGGAGGCAAAAACTTGACCTTAATGAAGCTCATGTCCCCAGAAAGTCACTCTGCCAAGTCTGTAGGATGACCAAGGGCATTGTCTAATACCAGGAGGCATTTAAGGTCTAATTTCTTTTCAATTAGGTAATTTTTCACATTGGGGGCAAATGCTTGGTGTAACCAGTCATAGAAAAAGTCCCTAGTGACCCATGCCTTAGTGTTTGCCCTCCACAGCACACACAAATTTGCCTTGAGGATATTCTTTTGCCTGAATGCTCTGGGAGTTTCTGAGTGATACACCAATAAAGGCTTCACTTTGCAATCACCACTAGCATTGGCACACATCAGAAGAGTAAGCCTGTCTTTCATAGGCTTAAGTCCATGGAGTGCCTTTTCCTCTTGAGTAATGTAGGTCCTGCTTGGAAACTTCTTCCAAAACAGGCCTGTTTCGTCGCAATTAAACACTTGTTCAGGTTTAAATTCTTCACTGTCTATGTAATCCTTGAATTCGTTCACATGTTTTTCAGCTGCTTTTTGGTCCGAACTGGCAGCCTCACCATGCCTAATCACACTATGTATGCCACTATGATTCTTAAATCTTTCAAACCAACCTTTGCTGGCCTTAAATTCACTCACATTACCACTAGTTGCAGGCAATTTCTTTACCAAATCGTCATGCAACTGCCTAGCCTTTTCACAAATGATTGCTTGAGAGATGCTATCTCCTGCTATCCGTTTTTCATTAATCCACACCAATAACAGTCTCTCAACATCTTCTAACACTTGCGGTCGCTGTTTCGTAATCACAGTTGCACCTTTCGTAACAACAGCTTCCTTGATTGCCGTTTTCCTGGTCACTATAGTAGAGATGGTTGATTGGGGTTTTGTATACAACTTGGCCAGCTCCGACACATGCACTCCACTTTCATACTTTGCAATTATCTCTTTCTTCATTTCAATAGTCACTAGCACCCTTGATCTCGAAGGATTGGCACTAGAAGCTTTCTTGGGGCCCATGGTGACTTATTTTGCAGAAAAAAGCACCAAAAACACTGTGATAATATGGAAAGTACCGAATGTATCCTTAGATGCGAGCACACTGGCTGGCTTGTAAACGCTGGCACACACGGGGCAGTTCAGGCCACACGTGGACACATCTCTGACGAATCGCGTATACCGGGTTTTGTAACAGGAACCGAGGCAAAATTTTTGCCTCGGTTCCGGATATACCGGATACCGATAGCATCGCAAACCAGGGGTCCACTGTATACACACACCCCTCTGGGTTTTCTATTTTCTTACTAGTTCTTGTTCTTGTTTATTTCCTGTTATCTCCATGGGGAAGTGGATCAGAATTCTTCCTCCGTAAGCCATGTGTGTTGTAAGAGGTGACTAAAATGCCAGGAGCAAGGGGCTAGTAACCCATTCTCCTGTATATATTACTAAATGTAAAAGGAGAAACTTTCATTTTTCCTTTTGGGCCACCCCGCCTCAGTGGGATATGGCCGATGTGTTGAAAGAAGATTATTATGTATCATTATTATTAGTACTTACTTTTTTTTTTTTTTTTTTTTTCAACAAGTCGGTCGTCTCCCACCGAGGCAGGGTGACCCAAAAAAAAGAAAGAAAATCCCCAAAAAGAAAATACTTTCATCATCATTCAACACTTTCACCACACTCACACATTATCACTGCTTTTGCAGAGGTGCTCAGAATATAACAGTTTAGAAGCATATACGTATAGAGATACACAACATATCCCTCCAAACTGCCAATATCCCAAACCCCTCCTTTAAAGTGCAGGCATTGTACTTCCCATCTCCAGGACTCAAGTCCGACTATATTATAATATATTATAATATATTATAATATATTATAATAATAATTCTTCTTCTTTCAACAAACCAGTCGTATCCCACCAAGGCAGGGTGGCCCGAAAATTAAAAACTTTCATCATCATTCACTCCATCACTGTCTTGCCAGAGGGGTGCTTTACACTAGTTTATAAAACTGCAACATTAACACCCCTCCTTCAGAGTGCAGACACTGTACTTCCCATCTCCAGGACTCAAGTCCAACCTGCCGGTTTCCCTGAATCACTTCATAAATGTTACTTTGCTCACACTCCAACAGCACGTCAAGTATTAAAAATCCTTTGTCTCCATTAACTCTTATGAAATACGCTC